AAAAGGTTTGTTATTTTTCAAAAAACATAAACACCCTAAATGAAATAATATGAGGATAAATCTTCAATAATCCAGGCAACAACAATACTTGCTAAATCACTTTTAACAATTACTCAGTACATGACAACAATAAAGAGGAAAAACATCATCACCACCAGGGACCAGCAGATTTGTAATAGAGAAGTAGAAATGAAGTAGAAGCAGTAAGGAATAAATACCTTAGAACAATAACGAAAGTATATAGAGTTGATGCAGAAGCAGAAAAAACACCTGAAAACAAAGATAACAAAAGGAACTCAGTAATAGAAATTGAAAAAAAGGAAGCAGACATAAAAGATAAACGATATGTATATGGAAATGAGGTGAAAAAAGTAAGAAATAAATACCTTAGAGGAATAAAGAAAGCGGATATAGTTGATGCAGAAGAACTAAAAACATTTGAAAACAGAGAGAATAGAACGGGGAAAAAACCTCTCTAATGAAAATTGAAGAAAAGGAAGAAGACAGAGAAGGTAGACGATAAGTATATGACAACGAAAGCAGGAGCAAAGCAAATGACTATAAGCATGAAAGAGAGTACAATATATTTATACGAAGAAAATAAACGTTTGAGTATATGGTGGTAGTAAATACAGCAAACAAAACTTAACACTACCGCCATTACGTTGCAAACAAAAGGTAATAATTTGCTAAAAACAGGTGTTACATTGCATGATAAGTACCGTGGAACAGAGCGAATAACCTGCAGATAGTCAAAACAAAGTATCTCGCTAGAAAGAATTACCTTGCACTAAAAACAAATGTCTAAATATTCCCGACTAATATAACCTGCAGAGAAAAGGGTTAATAATTAGTAAAAAAAAAAACAATTAAGAGATAACAGTAACAAATAATACATCTGAAACTAAAATTACTAACAATTCTCTGGAAACTAAAAAAAGAATACAAATTATAATAAAAAACCTGTAGACAGTCAAAACAAAGTATCTCGTTAGAAATAATTACCTTGCACTAAAAACAAATGTCTAAATATTCCCGACTAATATAACTTGCAGAGAAAAGGGTTAATAATTAATAAAAATAAATACTTAATTAAAAAAAAATTAAGAGATAACAATAACAAATAATACATCTGGAACTAACAATACTAACAAATCTGGAAACTAAAAAAAAACAAATTATAATAAAAAACGAAACCAAATGTATAGTAACCCTAATAGATATGGGAAGAAAAAAACATTTAAAAATTTCAGAAACTAAAGGGGAAAAATGAAAAAAAAAATACCAAAAGATCTGGAAAGACGAAAACCAGGGAAAAAAAGAACAAAATCAAATCTAAGAAAATATAAATGAAGAACAAAGCTACAAAACCAAATGCAGATATATGATCCCATAAACCTCAATAACAGATCTGAGGGAAAAAATAACATTAACAAATCTAAAAAAAGGGGAATAAAAAACTAAAGGAAAAAATGAAACCAAGTCTACGAAAATACTAACAGATCTAGAAAAGCAGGACAAAAAAAAATTAAAAAACATAAAACATAACGAAGCAAAAAAACGCACAGAACTGAGAAAATGAAAAAGAAAAACTGAATAAAAAAAGGGGAGGAAAATAAAGCGAAATCTACAAAAACACTAACAGATATGGAAAAATAAACGGGGAAAAAAAACGAATCAAAAAATCTAAAAAAAAAAACCAGATCTAAAAAAAGAAAAACGGCAAACAAAACTACGAAACAAAACCAACATACAAATTGATTCCCAGATACCTTACGAACAGAAAGAACGGGAGAAGGGGGAAAAAATGCACCGAACATGCAATAAAAAGCAAAATGAACCCTACGAAAACCTTAACCCATTTACGGAGGGAAAAATTGAAATTAACCCCATGAAAAACACAGGGAAACCCAGAAACATAAAAAATGTAGGGGAAAAAAAACCGAAGCCAAACCTAGGAAAAAAATGGAAAACAAAACTACAAAACAAAAGAACATAAAAAATGATTCGGATAAACCTTACGGAAAGGAAAAAAGGAAGAAGGGGAAAAAAATGCACAGAACATGCAAAAAACAAACAAACAAAATGAACCCCACCAAAAAACTAACCCATTTACGAAAGGGGAAAAAACTGAAACTACGCCCACAAAAAACGCAACAAAACCCACAAACATAAAATGGAGGAAAAACTAAGAAGGAAAACACAATAAAACAGAGGAAACCATAAAGGAAACGAAGCGGATCTGTGAAGAGGAAACAAAAAATGAGAGACTCGGTGAAAGAGAGATGCAGGCGTAAAAGCAGAAATGAAAGAAGCAAGAAGCTTCTGGAGGAAGCTAAACAAAGGCCACCGAAGAAAATGACAAAAATGGGCAAAAGAAAAACACAGCGAAGGAAAAAAAATTGAGGACAAAATAGTAAAAACAAATTCTAAAAGACGAAAACGACATGTTAAACACCAAGAGAGAGGAAAAGGGCAAAACAAAGGAGAAGACAGAAAACCCAAACAAAAACAAAGGGAAAAAAACCAAATAAATGATAAAACGGTAAAAATAGCTAAAAGGACAAAAAGGGTATAAAAAAGGCATCAACAGAATGAAAGATGAGTAAAATTGAAAAGTCACTGTACTTAGTACAATAACTTTCCGACCTCCTTTAGTAATATGTATAATACATTATCTATCCATTTAAGGCCGTATAAAGCGTTTTGTTGGTTTTTAAATTTTATAGGTGCGCAGATTACTTTTCAAACTTTGGGAAGTGGAGTGAAAATGTAACTATAATTGTGCAAGATTTATGAAATTCTTCCTAAACTCAATGTGGATGCAATGGTGTGTCAACTGATCTTGGTAAAGCCACTATTAATCGTGGATGATCATCGTAGATATTTCAATTTTAATTCTAACTTTTAGATTAGTTTTAAGATGTTATTCTTTTATTGATATGTGTAATCTCTTATTATTGTAGTAATCTCTTAAATACTTACCAATAAAAGAATGATAATTTATAAATTATAAAAAAAAATTGAGATTAGAATTGGTGTACATTACTTTAAAAAGAAAAAAATTGGGATTAGGATTGGTGTACATTACTTTAAAAAGGAAAAAAAAAAGGCCAAAGCTAAAGCCCTCATGTGAGCGTTGGGAAGGGATGCTAGACTTGAGTTTATCTCATTAACACTAACTAAAGCTGTGAATACTTGCCATGTAACTGATAATGTGTGCGGTAATTCCGTAATTTGTTGGTTGCTGAAAATATGATAAACAAAAATCTTTTGGAGTTTAACTTGAGTATAATTCTTGAGTTGAATTTGAGTTATAACTTAAGTTGAACTTGTAATTTGAGTTTGTGTTTGGTTGTGTACATTTGAGTTATAGTTTGAGATAAAAATCTTTTTGAGTTTGTGTTTGAATGAGTCAAAACTTGAATTTGTATTTATATAGTATTTTAATAAAAACTCAATGCTGATAAAAAAGTTTAATGGGGTATATGGGTCGGGTTTTATTCGTCTTTTCATTGTCAACGCATTAAAAAAAAACATCTCAATCAGAATTAAAACGAAAAAGTTATAGCATTTTTAAGAATAGAAAAAATAATGTTCATTAATTTGAGTTCGAGTTTCTGAACTCGAGTTGAAGGGGAAACTTGAACTCAAATTTTAGTCCTAAGCTCGAGTTTGAACTCAAATTTAAACTTAAAAGAACATGAACTCAAATAAAATTATAATTTGAGTTATATTTTTTTAAATTTTTCACACAAAAGAACAAACTCTTAGTTGTAGGAATTTATTTTAGAATAATAAGATGAGTGGAATAAATAATCATTAAATTTAATAGGTGGATGGTTTAAGAAAATGTGTGAAAAAGTTAAAATGGTGTTTGAAATAATAGACCATTCTAATTTTTTTAAGGTGACATGTGTAATGAGTATTTTTTTAAAAATTATTTTTAAAAGTATTTTTATTAATAAACAATTTGGTAATAAAATTCTTTATTGAAAAGGTGCGTGGAAAGTAGAATGAGAGTGCCTTTAATAAAAATTTAAAAGTTGTATATATTTTCACCATAATACCCATTTTAACCCTTTATACCTCCACTGATTAAAATGAAAGGCTCATTTAATGAGAGTATGCCCCCAAATTCAGATAAGTCGGTTGCTTCAAGTGCTCTCCTTGATGGATAGCGGTTGAGCTCATTTGACGCTTGTTCATCTGGTTGTTCTTCAAGTACTTTCGTTTGTTTGTTTGTTTGTTTTTTTTTTTTTTGCTAAATAAAAAATTTGGGAGGCTGTGACTGGCGATGGTATATCCGGTCTAGTATTATCAAAGGAGTCCCTTAAACACTAATTTAAATGTTTGTTAAAGACCTTACAAACAAATCTTACTCTTTTAAAAAATGCGTCATTCTGAACCCACTAGATGTGTTATGGGTAAGGGTATGTAAAGGTATAATTTAAGGCACTATAAATGGAGTTTAGACAGGTTTCTCTCTTTCAAATTCAACTGCTGTCGGCAGATGTACACATTTTCACCTCCTGGACAAGCAAGAATTAAAAGAGAAAAAGAGGGTTCCTATACTCATGCACATTGCAAAAGAGGCCCGTTCATTTCGTCGATTTGAGTTTAGAATTCAAGTTTTGTTACAGTAAAAAGCTATCAGAAATAATCACATCTAATTTTTTTATTACAGTAAAAAACTCTCATATAACGTCACATCTTAATTCAAATTAAAAACTCGAATTAACGAACTAAATGGACTTTCTTGCTCAATGCGAAGCATTCTAATAAATAAATAAATAAATAAAAAGAAAACTATTTTATAAAAAGGCAGAATTTATGGTAGGGCAGGCGGGAGGGGAAGTAAAAGTGTGGTTGACCACAAAGCTCATTGGTCCAGGGTGCAAAGTACAGGAGGGGAATTGTGAGCGTTCCCGTATATGAACAAAATAGTGGTTTTAAAATCCAAGCTGACGTGGGTTGGATAATAGCGCTCCACATGGAAGGCCAAGGAAGGAGGCAGGGGATTAGCAGAAGATGGGGATCTAGGGTTATAACCATTTGAGTTGGTCAGAAAAAGCGGATTAAAAGGGGAACATAACTCAGCGGCGGATTGAAGCGGAGAAAGAATCGTGTGCCGCGGGGTGGTCCTTCACCGATCGGAGCAACAGAGGTCAAAAGGTGCGAAGCAATTCCCGATTTGAGGTGAACAGGTACGTTATGTGTAAGGTGTTTTTATAAGGAGAGGGCTCAGCAGTGGAAAATGTATAGACATCTGATTAATCAAAGTTGGATTTAACAGTGGTTTGTAGAGAATGAGAATTAATTTGTAGTTATTTCGCAGAGAGTACCGCGTGAGAATGGGCATGTTGAAAGTTTTTAGGAAAATACAAACGTAATTTGGGTAAAAGGGAATCTGACCCCGAAGTGAGATAAATTTATGAATAACCAATAAATTTTTACTCCTGCAATGCAATATTCTTCTACATATGAAGTGGGTAGGACTGTAAAGAAAAAAAAAAACCTGTAAAATCGAAACTGATTGAAGAACCGACTGTTAAAAACCGAAAAAGACGGCATGACGTGAAATTAAATAAAGTTGGTTCGGTTAACTGACCGAACTGCTTTAAAAGCGGTTTGGTTTCGGTTTTCTCCAGCGAGGTTCGGTTAAAAGTGAAATGACAGATTTTTTTTTTTTTAAGTGGTTTTTGAGTTTCACTTCTTGATTTCTTCTGGGTTCTGCTGTCGTTTTTCCCCTTTCTTATTACTCTTCCTAAGGATGGGCACCAACACGCCCGCCTCAAAAAACGGATTCTCCCTTAGGCTGCGTTTGGTTGGGGGGAATGGAATGGAAAGGAAAAGCCATTCCTTCGAATTCCATTGTTTGGTTTCATTTTTTGGGTTAGAAAGGAAAGCCCATTCAGTCATTTTAAGGGAATTGGCATTCACGTGGGGGGCTGTGGAATTGCTTTTCCATTCAGCCCCGATTCACGTTTTGTCCAAAAACTCCCTGCCCTAGCCCCCATTTCTTGCTCGACCACCGAGCTCCAGCCATCCAGAGCACTCCTCCTCGCTTCTTCTTTTTTTTTTTTCTTCTTCTCGATCTCCGGCAAGAGAGGTTTGGCTCGTTTCTTCTGGATCTCCGGTGAATATCCAAGAGGTTTGGCTCCGATCGAAACGAAGAAGTTCTCGCGCGGCTCGATTCTTGGCTCGCTCTCGGATCTTCACCGGTGCGTCACCGCTGCTGCGGCTTGGATCTTCACCGGCACGAAGACGAGTACTATTTTGTCGAACTCCTGTTTGCTGTCGTCTTCCTTTTTTATTGTCGTTTGACAGAGGAAATGTTCATAGCAGTGACTCCCTCTTCTTCTTCTTCTTCTTCTGTAAATGAAGCTCAAAAACCATGTCTGTTATCTTCGTTAACAACCTCAACCCTTCACCTCCATTTCTCTCTCTGCAACTCAAACGCAATCCCAATCCTCTTTTCCGCTTCTCCAAACCCCCACCAACTCTAAACTCCGTCATCAACCTTCCCTCAAACCCCTCTTTACCCGCCTCAAAATCCCCTCCACAAGCCCTAGCCATCCCCTTTCTCGAACCTTCCAATGCCTCGATTCCCTCAAGCCCCACCTCCTCTCCCAGCAGCCGATTCTCCTCGGCTGGCTCTGCAGACTCGTCTCCGTTGTCTCTCTCTCTACAATCGTTCCCAAATTTGGGAGATTCTCTGCTCTGACCGCCGATTTCGACGCCTTCAGATTGAGCAACAAGGGTTTGGCGCTGTCTCTTGGCAGTGGCTAGGGTTGTCGGGTGCTATTGGCAGCAGGCGTTTCTAAGGGACGTGGCGTTGAGTGCTGCGTGTGAGATTAGGGTTAAGGTTTTCCGGAAGGTTCTGGAGAGGGATTTGGAGTTCTTCAAAGGCCGAAACGGCGGCGTTTTGGCCGGAGATGTCGCTTACAGGATCACCGCCGAGGCCTCGGATGTTGCTGATACTCTGTATGCTCTGCTCAAATGTGAGTCCAAAATTTATTGAATTTTGAGTGATAAAATTTGCTAGTGTTATTGAAAAGGTAAGTGAACGTTTAAGTTGGGCTATCGGTGAAGACATGACGGAAAAACATAGTCAGATTATCTTTTGATATAGTGGTGTATGTGTTATGCATTTCTCTTTTGATATAGTGGTGCACGTGCTATGCACTTTTGATATTGTAATTAATTAGGATTATGCTTCACTTTGTTAAATTGTATTAACTAGGAACTTGCTTCACTTGGCATATGACTATATTTTGTGATTATATATGTTGTTGAATGATATATTATCATTTTTATTATTGACAAGGGCCAAAGTTATATTTTTCATGAAACATATCATGATAGATGTCAAAAGTTATCATATTTCAGCTTGTGATATTTTATTATTACATAAAAAATCAAATATTATTATTTTTTACAATTGAAATATAGTGTTTAAATTATTATCCTTCAAATAAAAAGTTTTTTTCAATAATTAAATTATTATTTTTACTATTTTAATTAATTACAATATTAAATTACTTAGGATTATTAATCAAGGGTATTTTTTGTCAAAATACAGTTTATTTTCATTCCATTATGTTGTCAACCAAACAGCATAATCCTCATTCAGGTATTGATTCCATAACTCCAATCAAACAAAAGAATCAGTTTATGATTCCAGCACATTTCAATTCCATTCCATTCCATTACCATTCCTATTACTATTCCTATTACCATTCCGCCACTCTAACCAAACGCACCCTTAGTTTTTAGGAATAGATAGATAGATTATCACAGGTGTAACTTTTGCAAGAAAATAGAAAGTACTTAAATTCCATCCAAAAAAAAAAAGAAAGTGCTTAAAACACAAGTACGCTACCGATCGTCAGCTCCTCATCAGTGTATGATCACCTCTCAGCTGCAACCAGTTCCGAGTTTGTTTACCCTCAATTTCTACTATTTTGTTTATTTCTTCTTTTTTAGTTTTCTTTTGTGCCATTTATGTATGATTTGCGAGTTATTCGTCTTTTCCAATTTTCTGATTATCCATCCGTTGCTCTGAAATTTGGCGAACCCCGAACAACAGAAAAAGAAAAATGGGGAGTTTGAGAAAAGCCTTATTTACCGTTGATCGGCTCCTGAAATCAACGTCTCTCATTCAAACAGAGGCCTCGATCAGGTGTGTTTTTTCCTTCGTTTCTGGCCTTTGATTTCCTTTAATTCGTTCTTTTGTTGGTAACTTTGAAATTAAAGGGAAAAAAAAGGGTTGAAAACGTTGTCTTTGATATAACCTTTTCATTTACGCATTTCGTCAAACATTTGGCAGGCCTGTTTCGAATTGTGGGATTTACCGCTTTTATTCAGAAAGTATAGATCTCGCCAATGAAGAGAGCAAGAGACGGCTTTGTAACAGGTAAAACAAAGGAAAAATTAGCCAAATATCCCTTAGGGTGTATTAGTTTTACAGCCTTTTAGTTCACGTGTTCAAGTTAGTGATTTTAATTTTGAATTTAAATTTTGTAAGAGAACGAGAACTTTTTTTTATGAGGGAGCAAAATCAGAATCATGGGTTCAAAACGAGCCCTTAGATTTTTATCTCTTAGCCAAAGGACTATATTAGTCAAAAGAGTATAAGTGGTAAAAATTTCAATTCATGCACTCTTAAATGTAAGTTCCATAATTTTTTCTAAAAAAAAAAAAAAAACAAATGTGATTAATTATTTCCTTGTTTCTTGATTTCGGAGATGATTTTGATATTCGATTATTTTTGGGCTTTTGCGAATAGACTGATATACAGGAGCAAACAAAGAGGATTTCTGGAATTGGATTTGGTTTTAGGAAAATGGGTGGAGGAGAACATTCATTCTATGGATGATAATGGAATCAAAGCTCTCTCCTATGTCCTCAACCTGGTAAAATTTCTTTTGTTCTGTACGATTTTGTTAAGCATTATTGCTTTTTCTCAGAATCAGAACTCTATTTCTATAAAGTTAATCATTGGTTTTAGATGGGAATATCTCATAATCTGTTTATAGATGTACAATTTTTTCTTGTATTCAAATATTTGTCTAGCCCAATTTGCCTACGATCATAATAGTATATTTCTTGTTATTGGAAATTCGCTAGTTCCAAGCTTAATTTTATTTTTTCTCCTTTTAATTTTTTTCTGATTAGATACGTTGTCACTTGACTATCACATGGTATAAGCTTATAAGCCAGACATATAGGTCTCTTTTTGGTAGTCCTCAATGTTTCAGTCTCCTACAAAGTTTGCCAATTCCTACAGTTTTCCCAAGTTGAGTTAACATCAAAAAGAAAAACAGTTGAATCTTTCATCGTAATATTTTTGTGTTTGGCGCTTGAATTGCAGACCAACATTTTAATGGGGAAGTAATGCAAGATGCCTTGGTTATATTCCAGTATTTAGAGAACTTGAGCTTCTTGTGTTGACTTTCAATGAAATCATGCGCTTGTCTGATGTTTTCTGTTGCTTGAGAGAAATATAATAGGCTGATAGCCATCGCATACGAAGCAAAGTGGTTTTTTTGACCGTCGTATTATGTATAGCTCCAAACAAATTCTATTTCTAGATTCTTGTCATTGCTACATATATGTTCAGTTAGAACTATGATGAGAGAGCCGAGATTTAAGGTGTTTGATGTTTTTGAGCTAGAGGAGAGAGAAAACAAAGGTGAGGGGAGAGATGATAGGACCGAGATACGAATCACTTATCGACTTGTGTTTTTGTCGTGTAGTAAAACCCAGATCTCTGGAAGTGGCTAGCTAATTGGTCAAGAGCAACCTCCTGAGGCAGTCAAAACAACCCAGATCTCTGGAAGTGGCTAACTGGTCAAGAGCAACCTCCTGAGGCAGTCAAAACGAATCCTGTGAGATTCGATATAAAAAATAAACTCTCAATTTGGTTCTTCCTTTTTATTGTACTTGGTTGTTTTCAATCCTCATCCAAAACCCTTTTGTTGTAGTAGGTCTTTACGGCAGTGAGCGGCAAAGTTATGAACAACCTTAATGCCCATGCTTCTCCTGAAACACGCGCAAAACCTGGACAGCCATGGGTGAGAGGGTGGGACGACATCAAGAGAGGTCGGGACAGCCCTATAACTGGAAACCAGTAATGCTATCATCATCCCCCTTGCCTGGATTTATTACTTGTGTGCTTGTAAAAATGTGCGAGAGATGATTGTTATGGGTTATTTTTCTTACTTGCCTCTACAAAAAGTGGTGGCCAAACTTCGTCTCCATGCCCATGTGCCGTTGCTCATATTGCTCTTTCCAAACTGTGTTATATTGCTGCCCAAATTCTTCATTCGACATAACTGCATCCTTTCTTGGGGGTGAATAAGATTCAAAGTACAATACTCGTTAATATGACACCGAAAAGTAAAATAAAAACATGTATATGTTTATATTTGCATGGAGCAGTTTTTGGAAAGAGTTTGAGATGGAAAGTTTATGATTAGTCTTATTTTATTACACACTTGAGTTTTGATATGTCTGCAATCTGCATGCTTTGTACATTGCCTTGTGTGTTGTACAAAATCGTGAAGTTAGATGAACATGTTAAAATGCTGTAGATTGGGAGGTTACTATGATTCCTACTTATCTCTAATTATACGAAAATGTCGACGTGAACTTTGAATATGTGTCTATAAGGTGTGTGTTGCGTATAGGTTTTTCTTCTTTTTCAAAGTTAGTTATTTGCACTAGTTTAGATGAAAGTTTGCATCAACGAGTACGACGGTATTTCTCCTATCTATTAAATTCAAGAATTTTCATAATACTAGGTGCTAGGGGCCCAAAAACCTTAAGGTGAAATATGTTTCTTTACTTTCTAGCACAAAATGAAGAAAACACTGGTGAATGTCCGGATGTTCTGTACACAATTATGCTTGTACACCGTTTATCTTGGAAAATTCTGCAATGGAGTGCCCCTAGTGTAGGATCAGTTGACATTAACTGTACGATTTAAATCGAATGGGGCTTGTATATATAATAATGTTGTTCAAAAACTCTCACCGTATTGAACCCCATAGAATATGCATCGTTTGATTTAATGATCATCCAATTTAAAAGTTCTTGAAGGAAAAAAAAAAAAAAAAGAAAATCAAAAGGCTGCATATGGAAATACCCTCGCTCCTGCCTGTTGTGGACATTGCCCAGTTAGATCTTCCCTAACCCATAATACTGAATGCTTTCCCCACCACCACATCATGGTAGGGTGTTCATAGGATCTAATTAACCGATCAAATCGACTGATTCAATCCAATTTAAATTCTTAAACCTCAATTAGATTAGATTGGATATGATTTCTTGAAAACCGATTTAGATTGGTTTATCCTAGCGTAATGTTTAACTTTTTTCATTATCTTGAAACATGTATGGAAATAAAAATACATAAATAATATTGGTAAGTGGGCAGGTTCAAACCGCCACCAAACAATTGAAAATTACCCTAGCTCGCCGTCTTTAGAAAACTCGCCCAAAACGTTCAAGTGGTGATGTATACTCATTTTAATAGATAGGGCAAGGTGCGGTGTAACTAGTTTAAGCGGGTTGGCTAGTTTGATGAACAAAATACCTACAACCAAACAACACCCCCATTCATTGAAGCTGAAAAGCCTAATGTCATAAACTATCAAGCAAAACATTTCATGTCCTCCACGCCCATAAAAACTCGATGACGAGAAATCTCGAGCTGTCATTCGAGCATTGCCATCGATACTACGCATCTCCGATGCTCTATCCACCAAATAATTGAGAATTACCCTAACTCGCCATCTTTAGAAAACTCATTCAACAAGTGGTGGTGTGGACTCATTTTAACATATAGGGCAAGGTGCGGTGCAACTAGTTTGAGCGGGTTGGCCAGTTTGATGAACAAAATACCTACAACCAAACAACAGGCCCATTCATTGAGGCTGAAAAGCCTAACATTACAAACTATTAGCCAAAACATTTCATGTCCTCCGTGCCCATAAAAACTCGATGATGAGAAATCTCGAGTTGTCATTTGAGCATCGCCATCGATACCTCTCCGATGCTCTATCATCAAGGGAGTGAAAGGCTCCGACCTCCAATAACCTACTTGGAGTCCCCTGATATCATAACGTCATCAAAATCGTAGGTCTTCACGGGTCAGATAGCACAAAGTTCCCCCTGGCCTCCCCTAACACAATCAACCCAAGTCCGAGAGATAGTCATCAACAGCGTTCAATGACGCAAGTTGCCAAGTTTTTAGTCGCCTATGATTATCAAAATAAAACGTGTGACAGATGACATGAAGATTAATGTGGAATCTATCAAATTTTCACTAGAGGATGAACATGAAACGATTTTAACTGTTAAAAAAAATAGCAGCTATACCTAGAATCAACAAATCATTTTTCATTTTATCATATTTGAAAAAGAAATTAGTGAACATGAGGGCTTGTTCAGTTGTATTTTTGAGTTATAACTTGAGTTTGTGTTTGGATGTGCACATTTGAGTTATAGTTTGAATTGAGAATGTATTTGAGTTTCTGTTTAGGTGGGTCAAAACTTAAATTTGTATTTAAATAGTATTTTAATAAAAACTCAATAGTAATAAAAAATTTTAATAAGATATATGAGTGAGATTTTATTTATCTTTTAGTTGTGAATGCATAGAAAAAAAAATCATCTTTATCGAAATTAAAACGAAAAAATAATTACGTTTTTAAGAATAGAAAAATATTATTTATTAATTTGAGTTTGAGTTTAAGAATTTGAGTTGAAGGGACTAGGGAGAACTTAAACTCAGATTTTAGCCTTAAATTCAAGTTTAAACTCAAATTCAAATTCAAATTTTATAAAAGAATATAAATTTAAATAAAATTATAATTTGAGTTTAAATTTTTTTAAAATTTTGATCCAAATGACCAAACTATGATACTTTGCACCCCTCTATTTCAGTGACGTTTTTGACATTTGCCCACAAAAGCACCTGCCACTTTCAAGAATTGCAGGCTGATTAACACGTGGCATCAGACATAGACGACGTGTACAAACGCACAAAAAAAAAAGAGGGGAAATCTCTCTCAATATGTATTGACCATTAAATGATATTACTGAAATAATTAATTAAATAATGTAAATAATATAAACAATTACATTAAAAAAACACAATGTATGAGCCTGCATTTATTGTTATTAAAATGGTAAGCATCTAATTCTACTACTTTTTACCGTTTGCTGTGGCTTTATAAGTGGGGACATCACAATTTTGTTGTCAAATAAGGAAGGTTTAATTTACCGAATTGAATTTTTTAATTTAAATTAAAATATAATTTTATATGAAAAATTTTAATTATAATAAAATTAAAATTAAAAATTTAAATTAATAAAATAAACGTCAGTCATGTTTGTTTTTCTTTCTGATAACGTTTTTCACGTTTTTCAAAAAAAAAAAAAAGGACATAAAAATAGTATTTGGTTCAAGAATGAACCAAAAATGAAAACAAAATCTTTTTTGTATTTTTTCTAAAAACAACTGTCATTCTGAAAACGAAATAAACCCGTTTTCAATTTTTCCGTTTCCATTTTCTCCTCTGCCCTTCACTTCTCTCACACGATCTCTCTCCTCTGAAATTTGTTTCTGCCCTTCACTCGATCTCTCTCCTCTGAACAACAACAACAATCAACAACAAGGGTGAAGTCCGTTGGATCTCCAAAATCAACAACAGATTTTAAATACACACACAAAAAGACAAAAGAAAAAAAAGAAATTTTCGCATGACTATAGAGACGAAGAGATAAGAAAGCTACTTAATTCCAAAATTCTTGAAAAAAAAAGGGAACAAGATTTCCACACATTTGCAATGAACTGAACTTTCCCATATCCTCCGTTTTTCCCCTTCTCAAACCAATTTCATGGTTTCCAGAAACGAAGAACGGGGCAGGTTGATTGATATAAAAAAAAAAAAAAAAACCAAAAACAAAATTGTTTAGCAGGACAAATTCATAAAAGAGGAGGATTTCTTTTACCCTAAAAACTCCTTTGCCCTAATGTTTTCTCTCTTCCTCCTCCCCCGTGCCAAAGCTCGTCGTCCTCTGAGAAAGAAGAGGATTTCTTGGGGAAAAACAAAGATTTTACTCTCTGAGTAAGAAGAAGAATTAGCAGAGCGTGGCTTGATCAAAGCAACCGATAGTGGTGACAGAGATAAAGGATTTACTCATTAAGGTTGTTGTCGTTTTTTTCTTTGAGTAGAAGTTGTTGTCGTTTTTCATACACAGATGTTACAAGTTTTAAGAAGTGTTTTTTTAAGCTAAGATTATTCTCTAACTAATTTTTTTTTTTTACTAATTAATCACTAAGTTATCTTATTTTAAATTATTTACTATTTATTTGTAATGTGATTTAAATTATTTTATTAATTATTAGTATTTTTATTTGGGATTCAATTATTATTTATTTAATATATTATTATTTTAAAGATTATTACATGTTTTCAAAAATTAAACCAACAAACGCAGTTTCAATTTTTTTTTTAAACTGAAATCAATCTCTAAATAAAACTATCAACGCAATTTCAGAAATAATTTTAAAATGAAAATGAAAACGTTTTCATTTCTATTTTCATACAGAAAATAAAATTATTTTAAAACGAGTTCCAAACGCACCCTTAACTTTTCAACATTCCACCTATTCGGAAGCTACTATTACTAACTGTAGTGTTTTGAAACTTGTTTGCCTTAGGGGTTGTTCTTTTGTAACAAAACTCAAAAAAAGTTTAAATTTAAGTTACAATTTTATTCAAGTTCACATTCTTTTAAATTATAACTTTATTCAATTTTACTCAATTTTATTCAAGTTACAACTTCAACTCAAATTATAACTCAAATTCAACTCAAAAACTATACTCAAGTCACACTCTAAAATAACAGACCCTTAATCATTTATATTTTCTCTACGTGCTAATCAAATCCATTGACGGACCCGCTCGCGATTTCAAAAACGACAATGAACAGTCAATGAATAATTTTATAATTAGCCATTTACTCTCCTTCATATAAAACCGGAAATTCTCGTTAAACTATTCAACAAAATTTCACTCTACTCAGTAGCCACAAAATTTTAAATACCTTTGTAATTGCCGTTATGCGCGATCCCTACTGTCTACTGCCTGCCCGTTCTCTTCGTCTACCTTTCTGCTCCTTATCTTCTCTTTCCTTCCCACCTTACAATTCCATTTCTCTTTTTAAATGATGTTTAATTCATAAATTTAAAATCATAGTTTATAATTTTAATTTTAAAAAAAAAATTTATAAGAAAAAAATATTATAACAAACTAAAAATTATAATTCTAAATCAGATCAAAATCCTCAAAACAAACGGTTGTTTAAGTCACTTTATAACGGTTGTTTAAGTTACTTTACAACGGTTGTTTAAGACG